ACTGTTGTCGATGCACATCCTCAAGTATGCCAAATGGAAGCCTCTGGTCTTATCAATGCAGATTCTTGGCCTCTTCGTGTATTGGAACAAAATTGCTGATGTATTGCAAGGGCAGGGTAAGCGATTCATGGTTTGGTGCGGGCGCCTGCTGCTGTACGCAATATATTTAGGAACTGAATATATTTTGGAATCCCCCTCCCCCAATCCGTGCTCCCCCGAGTTCGGTTCAGTCATATATCTGCTATGATGGCCCCCCATCATAAAATCTCCCTGCATTTTTCAATTTCTGCGATCGACGGTTCTGAGGCAGACAGTGAGCGGCGCGCATGCCTTTTCTGAGACAGTGAACCCGCTGCGAGATAGAGACATTGCGAGATTGCAAATGCTCAACACTGATTTTCTGCGGTTACCATATGCCTCCACTTGTGCTGAACTGCCTACTCCCCTTGCATCCCCCAGATCCACTCTCCCTGCGCTTGTGAGACAAGCGTCGAATCCACAGGCCGATATGCAGGGGCTGCAATCTAGCTCCCACAGCATCCTTGCCAGAAGCGCTCTGAACTTTCCCGCCATGTGCGAGATTCTGGGAATCGCGGGTATCTGCCAGCTCGTTCTTGCTCCCACTTCTGGCTCATTTTCAGAGCTAAGTCTGGCGCAGTTGCCAGTTCCACAACTCTACAGTCTTCGACGCCCATCTGACTACTGATTGAAGTTGAAGCCCTACAAAGCAGCAGACGTTTGGTCCTGAAGCCGTCGCTATGGCATGGAATGCATTGAGTGTTTGGCGTTTCAGTTGTGAAAATCTTCCCCCTCCCCTGAAGAAAGGTTATGCTTACACAAGATCTGGTTAAACTGTGAGCCATTGGTGCACAGCCCAGTTGTCAACATGTGAGCGCAATGAGGGACTGACCGAAATATGCCAAATGGGCAGAAGGGAAAGGCATAATAGTACGTGTTCTTGGGCAGTATGGCCAGGAGACTGAGTGTCCTTCTTTTGGAACCCAGAGAGCGTGCCTCCAATTTAGCCGCCGTCGACTTTGAGATAAGGCGCTGGCAATAGTCCTGATAACCGTGATTGTTAATCCGCAGATCGGTTGTGGACGCAGCGAAGGTAAGGAGTCATTCATCTATTTATTGAGATACGAATGAGCACTCGAATTTCCATACATCTTGCCAATCTCTTTGCTATTTTGTTTGCGACATGGGACTGAAAATCGATGCTGATAGACACCTACCGAGCAACTGAAATTCAGACTGGCCACGCGAATGCAAAATTTATACAATGGTCCAGAAGGGGCACATGCGCAACAACATTGGGGTTCGCTAATCCAACTGGTGGTGTCGTCATGCCCTTGTTTCTATTATGGGCGTGCTGGTATGGAGGGATTGGTGATGGTACGAAACAATACCTGTGATCCAGCTGAGTAGGAGCCGCCACCGCCACCTGCTGCGTTGTCGGCAGCTGGGTCCGCTAGGTCGGCAATTAGGGTATTGGCGAGCATCCTAAGCACGAAAATGACATCCGCAGCTGAGGCATTGCACATGTTTGCCGCTGTTTGCGTTGCAGGAGCAAGCACATGCACGTTGTGCAGCACATGCACCTGAAAAATGTTGCCCTGAAGATGGACGTTGTTTCAACACTGTTTCAGTACTACGTTCTGTAAAGCGTGATCTTCAGCTTTCCAGGCAGGTTGAGCCCTTGATGGCTCTGAACTACGCAAGTTCTCCCATCCCAAAGTAAACATTCTATCTGATACCGCCTCTTTGGTCGCTCACAATAGAGACGTCGAACTCGGCGAGCTCTTTCATGACTCTTAGTCCCTGTTCTGAGTTTGAATTAGGATACAGAATCGATTGCGAAACACCGAAAGTAGAAATATTGGTGCCGTCCTTGTGCAATGAAATTGACATGGTGTCCAGCATTGTCGACGCTCTTGGGGCTCGCCATCTCTCAAAGTTTTGCCGCGTGGTGTTGTTGCAGTTAGAACCGATTGAATATTATTAATAACTGAACGCATGAAAAGGTGATGAGGCCCTAGGAATTTCATTAAGTACGTTGTTGAACGGACTGAATAAGAAGTGCAAAACGCCTGTTGTCCTTTTGCCTCGGCTGTAAACCGTTGCCGTGGACTCGACCGTACAGTTCCAGTTCAGGGATCGCCACCCCTCAATCCTGCCTGCCTTCCTCAGTGTTTTCAATTCAGCCATCAATTGACGCATAATCACAAATGATCATTGATCATTCATTAACAGAGGGAGGCAGATTTTTCCCTTGAATAACTTTGATTTGTACTTAAAACTTACTGAATTGCGACTTGAAGGTATTAAACTTTGACTTTTTGAATTGATGAGTACCTGTGAGCGCTCTGGCTGGTCTCGTGGTGTTCATTGTACAAATCCGTTCCATCTTTTCCAATGATGTCCGTTATGAATTCTGGACCTCCAGGATGCATGTTGATCATGTCCTGCATGTTGTACACCTTGCCATTGATGAGCGTCCATGGCTTGCCTTCCTTTATGGCGGCCATGAACTGCGCAGGGCTTATGGGGCCTCCAGTGTGCTCTGTGGACCAGGCAAAAGAGCCCTTTCAGAAAGCATGCCACAGGTGCGGGATTCTGTAAGGATGCGCAGGGCCCACTCACTGTTGCCGCTTTTATTCCGACATGTAATTCCCAATTTCCCAGACACTGCGCGGCCCACCATCATCGACGCGACATGTAGCCATCCTTTCTGAGACGAATCGTTTGAGATATATGGAAATGACTTTTGTGAGTTCATGGACGCATTCCTCTGGGTCACAATTTTCAAATTGGGACGGGGAGCGACTTTTGAGGCGTTCCACAGGAACAAAATGTGCAAATCGTAGAATGTTTTCTTGCCATATTTTCAGCAGATTGTGAGTGCTCGCGAGGTGGTGTTGAGTTGTTGCTTCCACTAATAAAAAGAAGGCCAAAATACACGGCTTTGAAGTCGTGTACGGTGTGACACAGTTGAAAATTGTGTAATAGTCGTTTTAGGTCTTGTACTTATTGTATGAAAATGGGACCAGACCGTGTAGTAACGATTGATTGATTGAGTGAGTGTACATGATTCTTACACGTTTTGACACGCTTTTCGCACTGCTCGAAACCGTATATTTTCGACGGTTTTTGAGTTGCGTTCTCGTGCCATCCAAACAGCTTCCATTGCAATTCGCGCGAATTTCACGATAGAGAATGTTCTCAGAACGATTGGCATTCGAGGGACAGGCTCATGGCGTCCAGGAACAGCACTGGAGATCAAGGGCGTCGGCTGCCGTCATGTCGGCGACATCAGTGCGCCGTGGGTGGGTCGTGCAGGAACCTGCCCGTCATCCCCAATTTACTGCAAGGGCTCTTGCTTTGTCTTATGAAAAATTGCATTACAACGAGCATGTAGTTGCGCGAGCCAATCTAGCGCGGATATGAGTAGAAACTGCCCAATACTGGCCTTCAGCAGAGCTGACTCCATTTCCTTACATTCAGTTCTCTGTGTATACGAGGGTACGACCACAGCGGATTCTCCTCTTGTTCAAGGGCTCAAACACAGTACAGTGCGTTGGGTTGCGAGCCGCTCGGCGTGCATGAAGCTCAAGTGCTTGATACAAGGATCGGCGTACCCAGACCGCGCCAGCTCTGGAGCCTTTTTAAACAACGAGTATATTGCATAGCGGCATTTCCGTGCACGAAAAAGAAATATGCCCTCCTCGAATAACACTGTACTTTAATGACAAGGTGGATACCCAGCGCATGGTCGCCGGCCTTGATGTGCATGTTCGTTTCGAGCTCACCGCTGCCTGCCCTGCTGGCACGGGTTAGCCTGGGAAATAGGGCGGTTCCCGGTATGAATGACAGAGGCAGCCACGACTGAGCAAAGAGCGCTGCACGGATTTCAAATGCCGAGGGTGCGCTCAATCAGTATGAATCATCGCAGATTGCATAGCTGCCAAATGTGTGATGTTGGTCTCTTGGTTACATTGGGAGAAATGTTGCAACTGCGCCTTGGAGGCGACAACAAGCATGATTCAATACACAATGTTGTTGCCGACGTACGTCGGTGACCTTGGTGGTTTTATTGCCATTATTGACGATTACAAAAAGATGGTCGACTGGAAAACATGCTTCGATTCGAATTTTTATTTCATGATATCTGCATTTGTGAATGACCGTGCTTACGCTGCAATAACCAATATACTATTGGCGACAAATGTACTACCAGTCGTGCGTTTTTGTTGTTATTCAAGTTCAAATTTCTGAAACGGCTCGCGACATGCACAGCGGATGCTCCAGCAACTGTTTCCTTGCACACCCCACCTCGCCCCACTCATCGTTGATGTCGAGCCTGACGGACTTCGTGCTGGCCCCATACTCGCTGTTGCTTCTGCCATTGCCGGACGCCCTTCGAAAACCAATGCCAGAAGTTCGTTAAAAATCTAACTCGACTCACCTGACCTGTGATCGCCGTCGCGCAGCTCATACAGCGCACAAAGAGAATCGGCAGAACGGGTACTGGACCCCATTAGCGGATTGAATGAGTAAATTTGGTGAATTAAGTATGCGGTAATATTGACGAAAATAGCGGATATAACCGATATATCCGTGATGTGCAATACCACCGTGCGGTTCATGGACATTGCCTTTCTCCGGCCTCACGGGAATTCCACGGATGCCTCTCATCCGGGCAAGGCAATCGCATTCTCACATCGTGAACCCAATTTCATCCCTTTTCTGCCTCGAACTTAGACTGCAATTCAATGAAACTATTGATTACATGGCAGTCGAATTTATAGCTCACATTGCTGTCTGCGGACCAATAGCACTGATCCGCGGGCAGCAAATTCAACTGTCAATTTTGACTGCTCTGCCATCCAATGTCTCATTAATCACACATGTGTGATGTTACACATGATTACGCAATGTACATTGTGATCTATGTATTCCTGTTGGCACGAACGATGGTGTGCAAGCAGCGCAATCTTCTCTTACAAGGACGCCTTTTCCTCCCCTGCCGCGGATTTCGTGGTGTTGAAGGACTTGGAGTTGGCGCTCTTGGCTGGGGCCGTGCCTTCTTCGGATGCGCCCTTGACTGTGGCGGGATCTGGCGGCATGAAGCCCCGCTTCACCATTGACTGCAGCATCTCTTCGTTGCTTACGGACTCTGAAGCGAAGTGGAAAGACACCTGCGGGACGCCAGGGCTCCGCTCTCAGGCAGCTGTCCCGTCCGCACAGGAACGTAATTCTTGGCTACTTCTTGTGGAGCAGCGTTGAATGGATTTTTTTTGTGAAGCAACATTAAAGAAATTAAATAGCGTTCTCACAACCAAATGCGGTGCAAAGAGCGTAATGGTAAAAATTCTGATGCAGAAGGCTTTGATAAACTACCGCAACCCCGGCCGGGGGGAAACATGGTGTGCGTTCGCTTATCTGGTGGAGAGGCGAGCGGCGTCACGCAGAGCGGTCTTGCCAGTTTTGGGTGCGAGCTAGTTGTCTGCCCGCGGCAGCCGAGCGCCGTTGTCTAGAAAATGGTGGCGTACCATAACTTGGGTCACATGCAAGGAGATTCATTCTACGAAAGTGGGCACTTTAGGCTCGGGGAACACAGGGGCTGCAGGCGACCACGAAGTGCGTTGTCCTGCCCGACATACCAATGAGCCAAATCCGGGATGCACGACTTGTTTCTTCGTGGACGGGCGTTGACTGTGAGCTTGAATTGTTTTCAGTTCAGCACAAGGACATTGTCGCGGGGTGCCAACTAGATCTTATGTCAACAGGTGACGTTTCCGCTGACAACCACAGACACTCCGAATCTGTTTTTTGTCGCAATGTGAAGTGAGTACAGGCCATACGACTAGTCCAGGACCAGTCGAAAGAGCTATCCAAATAACTGCAACCATGCATTGGCTGCCATATCCTTACCCCAATAGAAATGACCCACGCGTAGAAGCACTGCACAAGCCTTTCGTCCACCACCAGGATTCTCATGCCCATCCACATCTGCCACAGGGCGATCCCCACGATGAAGTACCCAACGGCCCTGTGCATCTTTTTGAGATTCATCTGCTTGGACCTCACCATCAGCCATCCCAGGAAAACTTGGGGGAAGGACGCGAAGAGAATGATGAAGGACAGGGCGCCGTGAGCGTAACGCACTTTTCCCTGCGGCGAGATTCGAAAAACGGCATCAAAGCAAAATGACTGCAGGCAAATTGGCCAATGTGCACGAATAAATTCTGCATTTGAATGTCGTGAAAATGCTTAAGTCATTCAACAGTAGTTACCCCGTTGTTTCATGGAGCGCCAACATGAATCGTATGATATTGGCGATATAAATTTTATCCTCGAAGAATTATTGAATAAACTAACAATGTGTTGCGAATTATGCTAAATTTTCAGGCAAAAAAGCAAAAAGAATGTCTGTGGCATTCACTCTCGTGCGTCACAGTATTTTGAAGAAATTCGCTCCACACATGGCGATTTGATGCAGGATAAAGAGGCGAAGACGGCGACGCTCTCCCAGCCCCGGTTCCAAATCATCCCCACAGAAACCCGTTCCCATCATGATTCCCACCTTGGAATAGCTGAAAGCCACCATCTCCCCCACGAACGACAGCAGCGTGGCGGTCACCTCGAACCCGATGTGCAGCTGCATCCAGTACTTCCAGTGCCTTGCCAGCCGCGACATGACGAGCCCCATGACGGCCAGCAGGGCCCAGCTCATGGTCTGTATCCAGGCGTGGGCGTGGATGAGGCCCTTGTTGGGCTCCGAGGCGCTGCCCTCCTCCTCACCACCCGCCTCCTCTTCCTCCTGGTCCTCGCCAGCTTCGTCCCCATCGACGCCGCCGTCGCCGCCTGACATGAGATTCACTTTTTCCTTGCCCCTGCAGCACGGGCCGTGGCCGCCCGGCGGAAGGGCGTCCGTGTCTCCAAAGGCAAAGATGACGTCCTGCGTGGGCGCCGTGGGGAGGGACAGTTGGGCGTTGCGCGCTTGCCGGCGGCGAGCCGTGACTTGTATTCGTGGAAAATTTCGGTGCGCGCGCCATGAACGGAGACACCGCTGCAACCTGCGCCGCGTTAAGCTATTCTGACTGCGGCTGTATGGATGCCTTCGCGTCAGGTTCGGAATGCGTTTACCTTGCGTGAGCTGTTGCTCTTCCTTGGAAATTGCTCTCGTTGTTGTGGTCAGAATGGAGGCGCCCGCCGATGCAAATTGAACTTCGAGACACCGCTGGGACTGCATGATTGCGCGCATCTTTTCAAAAATTGCGGAGTTAGAGAGTAGTTTGTCCGGAAATTTTCGCGACCTGGGCAGCTCTCAAATTTACGAAATCCCAAATCTATGCCCCCGCATTGTGCGACGCGTGTCTTCCTTCTCTGGAACAGCGCTCGTCAGCCAGCCATGCAGCAAGTTACGGAAGGTGATGCGCTCATGTCGCTGCTCGCGGACCTCCCATCTGGATGCCCCACCTGGTCTATGTCCTTGATGACTCTGTCGAAGTCGTCTCCAGTGTCCACCTTCCTCCTGAACACCAGCGTGGTCTTTCCGTCCACCTGCTCCCCGGCGAACGCCAGGATGTCGTTTGTGCCGCCTTGGTTGACATCCGTATCCGGCTGGAAAAAACCTGCCCATGATCAGGAAGGATGGTTATAATCTGCGCTACGTAATTTATGCGTTTTACGTCAAAATGCCTGAATACACGCTGCGTCTTAAGACGTAAGCTTACGCAGTAAATGAGAGCCTGATTCTAGAAGGCGAGCAAATGGGGATCAATATTAGGATGCAAATCCAAATCAAGATCCTGTGTAAATTGGGTGCACGGACAACGCATCAAGTGCTGACTTTTATGGGAAGCATAGTGTGGTGCAGTGAAATGCAATAACTGGGCCGCGCAGCGCCAAGTCCCTCGCGCCGCGCTCTTTCTGGCCGAGGCTGCTGGCCCGCAAATGCGCCGTCGACGAGAGATCGAAATTGCGATTCGACCATGAAGAAAAGCAAAATGGACCGCCCAGACACCTCAAACAGCCCACCCGCCGCCCACGAGTCCATGAGGGTGACGGTGCCGTCGTCCGCCACCCATCCGATGTACACGTCCGTCTCCTGCATGCCGCTGACCGACGCGTCGGCGGGCTCTATACCGAAGCCGATCCAGCCACCCGTGTCCTTCTGCACCTTGATGACCACCTCCTCGTCGCCGCCGTCCTGCTTCAGCCGCCGGCCGGCGGCGCCGCCGCCCCCCACGCGCTTCCACCACACCTTGTATCCCTCCACCAGCTCCGCGCTGCTGGCGTCGTCGAACTCGATGGCCAGGAGGTCCTCGGTGCCGTCGGCACCGCCCGCGGACTCGAAGGTGATGTCCATCACACCCCTGGATTGGAAAAGGAGAGCCCCCACGAAAATCACGTTGAAATAGGGCGCTGAACACCGATGTTAAGCAGCAATGCTGAACTTTAATGTTAAGCGTTTAACATTAATGATTGGTACTGTTTATTATTGCCGTTCGGCAATGTTGCCATCGACGAGACAACATAGGGGCCGTGGGCGGACGCGGCCGTGTATGTAAATCAATCGATTTCTGTCTATGTTGTGTAGTTTCCAAGACTCGCGTCGGACCGCACTTTCCTGGAAAGTGGGACGAGCTTTAAAGGCACATTCAGCGCACTGGCTCCTGGGGGCTTTCGCCGCAACAAAAGCCTTCCAATTGTGCCAATGAGATCGATGCCATAAACTTTCACGACGGCCTAACAGAGCCAGAAGATAGCTCCGCCAGCGGATAAGGCTGCGACTGCACCACGCGCTCCAAAAGGAAAAGCCACCCAAACAGCGTATGCCGTGACCGTGGCGCCTCTTTCCATCAATTGGTGCAGTATTCACCACCCTGAGTCGCGGCTTCAATGGTTTTATCGCGGGTGTCGCCGCCCCATCCCACTTGTTTCCGCATCAAGACATGCCCTGAGGAGGGCGTGTCCCCCAGCCGTGGAACACATGCACTAACCCCCGCCTGTCGCTCAGTTTGAAAAGCAGTGTCATTTTTAGCACTTATGGCACTCGCTTGTACAAATCCGCTCTCGAGCCAGTAGAAAACGACATTTTGCGATGCCAACCGCGATGGCATTCACTAGGAAAAAAGGGCTAAATAACACGTGTTCAAACGTGTACAAAGTTTACGGGTTTGTGTTATTTTTGTGCTCTTACGTGCAAATTTTTGATGAAATGTGTTTTATGTGTGTTTGCAAAAGTGTTACTTGCCCCTTTTTCCCTAGTGATTGTTTAATAATTGATGCCGTCGCCACTACTTTTTTGCCATGGCAGTCACTTTGATGGCGCCGCATAGTGTCAAAATGGCATCGCAAAATGGTGGCTGCTGCTATTGTCAGAAAAGCCGTCACCTCCTGGTGCCATGGTACTGCAGGCCCCCCGCAGCCTCGTGGAAGGCGTAGATGACGGAGAAGCCCTGCGACGGGATGTCCCTGTCCGAGTCGTCCGTCCCCAGCAGGCTCCGCGTGAAGGTGGCCTTCATGTGCCCGCCCGCGATCTCGCACGCCGTGGCCGTCAGGCTGTCCTCCCCTCCCACGTCCCCGTCCAGGCTCGGCTGCGCAAATGTCTCGGACCAGTAGTCGCCCACCTCGCAGCTGCCGCCGTCGGCCACCGCCAGGATGATGTCCGCCTGATGCATGTTTTTGTCGGCGCCCGGGACGCCGATCCCCATGAAGCCCTCGCCTGAGAATCGGACCGCAAAATTTCCAGCCCCGGATTTAGATCCATTTATGCACTGGAAACAAGGACCCTTGCACGCACGAGCATGTCATCTGCAATTTCTCAAGCCCGCCAACGGCCTTCCTTCCTCGGAAAACATGAACCCTTGTCCAGAGTTGCACTAGTTTTGGTTTCTGCATTTTCGCGTGCGGGAACATCGGCCATTTTCACTAGCAGAAAAAGGACAAATAACACGTTCCGCGAACACGTACGTGCACATTTTATTAGTGTTCTGCACGCCAAAAATACGAAAGTAGCGCAAACCCGGAAACTTTGTACACGTTTGAGCACGTGTTACTTGGCGCTTTTTTTCCAAGCGTTTGTGAAACATACGGACCGACGTCCACACAGGAATGCAAAGGGCGATTCCGCGAGTCTGGCACTCACCGTCCATCTCAAGCGTGAACGTGATTTCTTCCCCCATCAGCTCCCAGGACAGCACAAATCCCTGGTCCTCGTTCAGGGTCGCCTCTCCAGTGATGGCGCTGCCGCCCTCTTCCCCCTCATCCTCTCCATCCGCCGCCTCTTCTCCGTCGGCCGGCGGGGCGTCCGTCTCGGCGGGGGCGTCGGGGGCCGCGGGGGTCTCCTCAGCGCCTCCCGGAAGCGATGGGGATATCTTGTACACGGACGAGGGCGCCGCCCCGACGGCTGCGTAGTAGTTGATCTGCAGACGGCTCGTCCTGGGCGGGGAGAATCACTATTCAAATTTTGAACGAACTGAACGAAATACTTTGCGTCACCACTTACCTTGAGGTAAGCGATGCAGCAATGTAGTCTAAAGTGCTGAAAATTGTGGTGCCGTGTTCGCAGTGATTTGTGGTATTGTTTCGCATCACTTACGAAAAGGTGAGGCATCACTGTGCGGGTGGTTAGCTTCGCAGGGTTGAGGGGGAGGTGCTCTGCGGCTGCAACATCCCAATGGGGGGGGGAGGGGGGGGGGTCCCACTCTGACAATCGGTGCCGGGGCTGATTGTCGTTGATGAATCAGCGACGCACGCTGAGGGTGGGCGAGAGTACGCGGGGGAGAGCGAGAGTGAGAAAGAGAGATGCAAGGCAATGTGCCTGGCGCTACAGTTTCGCGCATCAGTGGATACTGAAACATACATGCTTTAGAGCGCTTCAGTATACATCTTCTGAAAAATACGCTGAATCAGCGTATTTCAGTATGTTTCAACTATTTGTGAGATGTATGAAGCAGAACAAAGGACAACGGCCACCCCCCTTCGCCTCATTTATTGCCACTCACTTCTCAGCGACAAAGTCCACCACCGGCGTGCTGCCCCATGCCAGCACGCTGTCGGTGAACCCGCCCGAGGCGACCGGGCGGTCCATGGGGTCCACGGGCGCCGCGGCCCTCTTGAAGGTGGCCACGATCTTGCCGCCGGACACGGCGCAGGACGCGTCCATCACGTCGTCTGTGCCCCCCAGGAAGGTGTCCAGCCTGAGATCATCCGAGGCCTGGGACCAGTAGTCGCGCACGGTGCACTGGCCGTTGGCGCTGTGCGCCACGATGACGTCAGCCTGGCTGAAGCCCTTGTCGGGGCCCTCCATGCCCAGAGCCATGAAGCCGTTTCCCGAGCCTGCCACGAAATGGACGACTGCCGGTCAGTGCCGTGCGCACAGTGTTGCGGTTGAGCCAGGTTGCGTGTGTGGCTGCAAAATGCCGTCCGCACAAGTTTAGAAACAAGCCAAGATTTGGTGCGCAAGGGCGCCATTGAATGGTTGTGTCCCGCTTTCCTGTGGATACGCCCCTTTTCTCTGTAGGTATTTATCAGCATGGTCTTCTCTGCGGTGAAACCAAGTTTTTAGGCAATGGGAAATTGATGCATGAGACATGCTCCACCTGGAAGCGCTCTGTAAATGTGAATGCAAAAGCCATATTCAACTCTCAGCTGATATTTCGTCCTTGCGCAAAAGTCGGAATGTGAAGTCGGAGTGCTGCTGAGTACCTATCATTGTTCAGAATTCTCAACAGACCATTTTGCCTAAATTAAGATTTTTCAGGCAGAAACTCTCTCCAAGCGAAGGATCTCGGTATTTCGAAAGTTGTTGGGCAGTATTCATGACTGGTTGGATTGACACAAAAGCATCTGAAGCTTCTCAAGCACTTTTGCTCCCTATTCCGTAGGTGCACAATGGCCTGGAAGCAAAGCCCCATGTTCACGGAAAACATACAAAATACGTATAAACAAAATACTATAAAATCACAATGCGCTTGGTTATACGTCATGCCAAACAACGCTAAAAAGCAAACTTCAGCGTGTAAGCCGGACTTCTGCATGACGGAGACACGAGCAATTTCATAGAGAGCCAGAAATGGACATGGATCCCCGGTCCCAACCTCGACATGAGTTGCGGTTAATGAGCCAGTCCGTCCAGGTTTTCGAATTCCCAGTGGAATAGTTAATTTCTGTTAAATGCAGTCGGGGAGAAATGAAAAAAATGGATGCGATGCGCTTACCACTGGAATCTGTCATGCTCAGTGTGAAGTGGATCATGTCTCCAGCAGATGCAGACACAACCCTCCACGACAGCTTGTATCCCGATACGACATCCACAAGTATTTCTCCTCCTGTTGATGATGAGACGGGGTCACTGGCTGGAGGTGCTGAAAACGGCGCCATGAAGTTCACAGCAGCGCGGTTGCGATTCGAGGCCCTGCCAAAAGCGCCAAAACCACATCGGAGTCACTCGTGAGTCAACGTATCATTTCTGCTCTTCCAATCAGCGTTATGAGGTCGAAGTGTTGTTGTATTTCACGGTTATTGCTTCAAGAGGTCACACATCTGGCATCGCGCAATTTAGATATGCTGGACTGTGCTGAGTACATTGTACTACACTAAAATGTGCTGCCAGTATGAACCCTCGGAGATTGTGCATCAACGGCGCGCCATATGGTAGGGTGTGACCATGGCCTGTAAATCAACCGCATTATGTTGACCTTGCCATACTGCATTTCAATTGAACACATGATTTATACGGGTGAAACGTCTGAAATCAATTTATAATTCATGATGTATGCAATTTCTTTAGGGACTGTGGCCCGCAGAAACGACAGAATTCAGCTTTTGATCAGTTTCTGGCGGCGCTGCAACCACTCCTAAGTTCTCTGGTACCATTCGTCACGTTTTATCACTGACGCAATATTGCCGTGCGCTTTGTGTTTGGAAGACAAAAAATCTAATGAGAACACAAACCGTGGCTTGGAATTTTCAACATGAGCGAAATGGTGGCCAGCCCTGGCGTTAACATTGCCAGATTTTGCACTGCCTGAATGCACTCCACACCACCGCAAATGCGTTGGCCGCTCGCTCACCCGTGGTATCGAAGACTGCCTTCGCTGGAGTGCCACGCAAATATGATGTCCGTCTCTCCGCTGGTCTTGATCGCTCGATCAAATTGGTCCCCCGTCGACACCTTTCTCCTGAACTCCACGTTCGTGAAGCCGCCCGAGCGGGAGGCGCTCAGCAGCTCCACGTCGTTGGTGCCCCCCAGGGAAGCGTCCCTCTGAGGCTCCGAGAAGGTGTTGGAGTAGTAGTCGTCTAGCGTTATTTGGCCGGAGGACGACACGGAGGCGACGATGATGTCGGCGCCCACCATCTTGCTCGAGAAATCTGAGGAGCAACACGGTTGTTCAAGTCCTTTGTCCGAAATTGCCCCAGACAAGAAAAAGAGGTGACTTTGTAGGCGATGGCGGCCGCGCACACATCCAGGCTTGTTGTTTACAGTAAATACCAATAATTTACATTTACGCATTTACATTTAATGGCGCAACTACAGCTTGGGTTTACGTATTTTTACTCGTTTGCCGTAAAAATGCCTGAATAGACGCTATGTTTACGCCATTGCGGCGTAAGCACAGCATTTGCTCACGTATTTTTACGTCAATACGAGTAAAATAGCTAAATGTAGGCTGCGTTTGCGCCGTAAATAACAGGCATGTACACATCGATGCGTAGATGCCCATGAATGTATCCCATAACGTTTTTCGTCTCGCTTCCGTTCATTTTTTTGCTTCGCACTGGTGTGGTTAGACACCCCGTCGTGATTGATGTTCCGAGCGACACGATTACGTAGAATCATATATGCAGGCAGCGAGCTTCGAGAAGCATCCGCGGGTCTTACCCCTTGAAAACCTGGGATTGTGATGGGAAGGGTGCTCGGAGAGCATCTCGGAACCATCTGTAAGCGTGCGCACACTAGTAAAAAACAGGCCAGATGACACAGTCCTGACACGGTCTGCTCAAAATCCAGCTGTGTGCTTTCAGCAAATGTGGTCCCAAAAGTACACAGTTAGTACACACATTGACACAGTTTCAACCGTGCATCCTAGAAAACTGTGTAGTCTACACAGTTGTTTCAGGGTACACGGTTGAAACTGTGTCAATGTGTGTACTAACTGTGTACTTTTGGGACCACATTTGCCGAAAGCACACAGTTGGATTTTGAGCAGACCGTGTCAGGACTGTGTCATCTGGCCTGTTTTTTCCTAGTGGCAACCGTCCATGCACAACCCACCGGCGTAAAAACGGCATGGAAATTCAAACGCTCGCCACTCCAATGCGAGCTCAAAATCGAGCAGCGGAATTGCGCTTTCGCCACGGAAGAGTATCTGTCACGGGCATTGGGGGACGATGCCCACCTTTCGCAATACCAATGCCCACCCAGCCCTCCGCCTTCACGTTCAAGTCGAAGGTAAGATAATCTTCGCCCCCGATCTCCTCCTTGCTCCACTCCAGAGTGTACACTCCCTCCTTCAGCTCTTTTGAGGGCACGGCGGATGGAGCCGCCGGGGAGCCTGAGGAGGGAGTTTCACCGGGCGCCTCGGGCTCGCTGGTAGTCTGTCTGGGCCAGGGCTGGTTGACATCTTGTACGTACACATTTTCGGGCATGACCTTGATCATGGTGTTGCGGAGAATCACGTCACGGAGGCCTGAGTGGTTGAAATGGCAGAGAAGTCGGTTCATTGCCTTCTTTCCATGTGGCAAAATGCCGGCCTTGTCACTTCAAGCCGGTGAGGGGAGCCATAATTGGTGCTGGGAACTTACCGGTGGAAACCAAGATGAAATCTGACACGGCTGAACGCGATCTGATGTAATGAGGACCCAACTGCATTCCCTGAACTCTCTCCCGGGTTGCATGTTGCCGTTGGAGGCACAACTCGCTAGGAAAAGAAGGGCCAAATAACACGTGTTCAAACGTGCAAAAATTTTACGGGTTTGTGTTATTTTGTGTTCTTAGCGTGCACAACTTTGATGAAATGTGTTTTATGTGTGTTCGCAAAAGTGTTATTTGGCCCTTTTTTTCTAGCGACTCTAACTGCAATGCTGCTGTTTTACTACTCACCAGCAGAATGGCCCATTCTGGCGACGCCAACTGCGACGGCATTTGGCAGTAATTGGTCTCATAGCGGCTTCTTTCCTGCCATCGCGACCGCTGTGATGCCGCCATTTAGTGTCGAAATGATATCGCAACTGGCATCCCCAAAATGTTGTTTATCTGTTAGGGAATGTGCTTTCTATCAGAACTACCAAGCCTTTTGAAGTTGCACCTGAAACTTTGTAGTTAGACCCACCGAACGCTGCCGGCTGTTGAGATTACGTCCAGCCAGAGGGGAACGCTTCAAATGGGGACTTGCGCCTCGCGACACGCACCGCCGCGTACCGCGGTGCAGCAATCGCCTCTTGTTTGCCCGCACAATAGTCTCCAAGGTGCATGCATCGATTTCATGCATTGGATTCGTAAGCTCACCTGTGGCGCGGATGGTGTTGATCTCTTCCTCTGTGAAGAGCCCATTGCGGCTGTTCTCAAAGTAGAATCGATCGCCATTGCGAATGCGGACGTACTGGTCCAACATGGACACGTAGAAGAGCTCGCCTATGTTAGAGTCCAGATACGCATCCTCAGCAAGGCCGCCAATGTAGGCGTCGATGCTGTCGACGTCTCCGTACGTCTCTTCCAAGATACGCTGGAGATAGATTTCGGTAGTTATATCTTCGAACGATGTCTTCCTCTCCAAGCCCATGTGCTGTCTCGCCGAGTTGTAGTCTGGAATGCCGTGATCTCTGCATTCATGTTATCAAGACCCATAACCTTAATCCCATCGCCTCAATAAGAGCACTCATGGATGCATGGATAGGGTTGCGTCAGGATTCTCCTTCCCTTGCTGTGCTTGCCCCGATCGAATTCGCATCCCTGGCGTGCCACCGGCCTCCGCGTTGTTTGTATCAAATATTCGCCATGGCAATTAACATTATTGGTTGCTAACGGCAGTTGGCATTCAACAAGTAATAATAAAAATCGGCATCATTTTATTAGTTACGGTTTCTGCCCAAGACTGGGTGCACGCGAAGCCGTGCACAGCGCGCTCGAACTAATACTGCTTTGCTCAACAAATTTCACCCTTTCAAGACAACGTTGTGCGTCCAAGTGCTGCAAAGTTCTGTACAAGCAACCACCGCTTCTGAAAAAGAGGCAGCACAAGCAAGCACTATAGAGTACAGAATCTAGTACCATTTTCAAAAAGAATTCTTGAAGAAGAAGAAGAACAAGAAGAATGTTTGAAAAATGCTTGTCGACGCGCTCGACAGTTAAGCGCGTCGACACACCGACACCCTCACCTCCCTCGCTGGATGTTTCTGGCGAAGAGATCCGTGCCGCCGTGCATGGGGGCGCCGAACAGGTACGTCTGCAGCGCGTTGGGAAAGTGCGGAACGCCCGCGGCCTGCTGAGAGAAGGCCAGGCCCCTGAGCAGGGGTTCGATTCCCGCGGCCAGCCCCTTGGTGGGCTGAAAGAACGACTCGTACAGCAGCAGGTGGCCAGCCGGCACCTCGTGACCTTCGTCGTCGATGCGGGGTATGATGTCCATGACCTCGGAGTGTCCGTAGCGGTAGGAAACCGTGGCGAAGAAACTGTCCACACCTGGCGTCCCGCTACATTTCAGGAACTTAAGGAACATTCAACCGCTGCTGCGACGGCCCACACTCGTTGACTACACGTGCATCTGTTTCGAGGGTGCGCTGGTCAGCTTAGGGATTAAAGGCCTTCAAGGGCAGAAGATCACAGTAGCTTCGTGTCCTCAGTATTATTGCGCTATCCTCAAGCTATCGTTTGTTACACAGAGGTCTGCCATTTACAGCGCAAATAGAAAGCTTGATTTTTTTTGTGTGTCCCAGGCCAGAGCCTCGACATGGTGAACAATGTCATTGCGATGGAGCGAGCTTCGGAACTTGCGTCTGCGGGCTGCTCAGCCTCTCAATGACAAAAGTACTGCGCCTTGTGCACCGATTCCGCACAAATTAGGCGATATCAAATTGAGAACCACCTTTTTTCAATACGCATTACTCTGTTTCCATTATTTAAAACACAATCTTTGAATTTGTATTCTTTTACATTATTGATTCTGAGATTGGCCCGAGTGGCGTAATCCTAAGCTCACTCTCGGAGCCATTTTCGCCAATACTGTCCGGATAACAGGTGATTATTACAATGATTTTAGAGGTGATCTGCGGCACTTCTGCCACGTGCGAAAATATTACAAGAGCAGCTCACCGCAGCTCCTTGGTTTCCTTACCCACGTTGATGCTTGAGTCGTAGCCAGCGTAGGGGGGCACCTGGAATCCCAGCATGGGAAGGTACTCGTAGAAACATATGGCCTGCATGATGGCCACGTTCCATTTGCGGGCCTCGCGGAAGATCTGCTCATCGGTCCAGGTGGGGTTCTTGGCCTCGATTTCCTCAGCAAGCCTGTTGTGCTCGCGGATGAAGAGGGTTTGAATGGCCAGGAGGGCCGCATTGACGTTGGCCCGAACATCGCCGGCCGCTCTGCATGCAAGGATATTGCATTAGAAACACTGTTGGAAAATTCAGGAGCAAAGGACGGCCGGCAGATATTTGCCAGGCGCTCGGCTTGATATTTGGGAATTAAATTGCCGCCAGATGCAAAGCAGGGGCCGTTGGTAAGTTCGATGTCGTGGGCACAAGGCAACGTCGCAATGTAAGGTACCTTATAGTCATCAGCCGTCGGCTTCGGCGAAACAAAAACCAGAAAGCGGAACAAAATTACGGCTATGTAAGGGAAAAAGGCCGCCACCCATGTATGCTCATGGCGACATCAGAAGTCCCTCGATTTCTTTCTGCAGACATGCGCGATGCCATGATCGGCAGGTGGTCCAGCTTCAAGAAGAGCAATTATTTAATTTGAAGGCAAAATGGTGGCTCGTATATTGAGTTCTTTTCCATGGAAAATGTATGCTGAATGACCTCTTCAGCGTTCAAACCTGATCATTGCAGAAGAAGAACTGTGACTCGTGATGGCTGAGTCAAAAATGTGGCATCATGGCAGTGGCTCATCTTTCAACCATCTTCATGGCAATGTGCCAAAAGTCTGATTTGGAGTTATGGATTGCTGTGACGCTGGATGGTACTGCTTTGAACATTGTGGTTGTGATAATTATTGATGTTTGCCAGTAAGTTGACATTAAAGCGACTCGCTGTGGACACTGCGCACCTCAGATCCGTGTCCTTCTCTACTCCAGCAGGGTTGGCCATCGTGACTCCCATGAAATTCGTGGGGAGCATGCCGTTGAAGGTCGACATCTTGCCCTTGTAATGGGCCCTGAGCTTGTCGGCTTTCTCCAAGGATTCGCCGTACACCACGCTTCCGTCCAAGTAAGACGTGATGGTGTTCACCTGATTGAATGACAGGCAACGTCGACTCCAGAAAGGCTCACGAACAACAAAAGATCTTCAAGCGTGTGAGTCGATAAGACTATAAATGCCCATATATTTATGAATGATTATTTGGGATGAAGCGTACTGGGGGAAGATTCAGGGCGTCGCGTGTTGCTGGAAAAAGAGGGTTGCAAGGTTGGATACTGAAAGCTACGCTACTGTGTCCTCTTCTAAGAAAATACGAGATACAATATTATGTGTGCAATGAAAAAATCAAACAACAGGAGACAAATAAGTAAATAAACATATGGATGCGAAGGGCACTGTGCGGATGTTAACACGGCCATGTGGCCACTTCACACTATCGAAAACGGGTGTCGGCATCGCTTTATACGAAATCAACTCTACACAACAGAAGCTCAAACCAACAGGCATTCCGGACACCAAAAGGAGCTGCCATTTCGGCTACGCCAGCTTTGATGACATTTGGATCTAACATCAGAGCCAATGCAGACTGAACGGCGCCTTCGCAGCGACCACGATGGCATCGATTGCAATCGGTGCCATCGCAGTAGCTGCGAAGGCGCCGCTTAGTCTCTTATGGCGCGTCGCCTCTGGATTCGCCGAAGCTTCGTCTTCTGCCAACGAGACGCACCTGCTCCCTGGTGGCGGACGCCGGCCTCGAGGTGTTGTACCCGGACCGCTGGAAGGGCATCGTCTCCGAGCCCGTGCCGAAGGGATCGAAGTGGAAGTCGCCCTCGGGTATGGTGATGTTCGCCCACTCCGCCTCGTGCGCGTCCATGGCCAAGTCGATGTCGTGGTTGAAGAACTGGCCGATGTAGGTCAGCATGTCTGTCTTGTGGGCCACGTTGCGCCGGCGCCCCCTGTACGGCGGCAGCACCAGGTTGGCGCTGATGACCCGCGCGCTCGGCCGGTCGGCCCCCTGCGATCGCAGATGGTCCGAAGTGTTGGGGAGGTCTTACCGATATCGGTAAAGCGATATCAGAAATCGATTTCTTGGGTCATGTTCTCCACCCATAAAATTGAAATTGCTTGAATTGCAGATTGTTTGCAATGGCTGAGAAATGCTGATGGCAACATCAATATGGCGGTGGCGATGTATAACCTAGCAGCACTGGGAGACGTTCGACACATCTCCCCTCAGGTCCAGGATTTGAAGATATGTTTCCTTGCTAAGCGTCAGAATTTGGTATCATATCCGGCAAGAGAATGCTCCCGAAAATTGCCATATGGTGGCTTCTGGCTAACCGCGCTGTATTCTGCAAATTGGCGATATAAAATCGCGAGAGGTATCTTTGAAACCACAAGGAACTCCAGCCAATAGCAGACGAATGAAAAATATGTAGGGAACCAGTATCATGCACACAGTCTCCCTGCACCACAGTGGCGTAAGACGTTGGTTTCTGCCATCAATGGTCAAGGAATGCTCGTGAGCCAAAGTTTTAGGCACTATTGTACCCAATACGCCTCGCAGGATTTTCTTTAAAGCAGCAAACACCGCGCAACAATTGACGATGATTGAATCATTAAGAAATAAAAAGCGCAAGTACATTCCATCCTCGACCAGGCAGAGTCGACCTGCAAACCTTTTAGGGGTGAAGAAGCACAAGGCTCATTGCTTGCATGTTACAATTCTTTCCTGCAGGGGTGTTCTGACATTGGGACGCGGACGATTCCTCTGCGCAAAAGACTGTGCGCCCTATTCCGAAAAATGACAACAATGCATGCGCTCATTGCAAACCGAACACAGGACGAACCTAGTTATCAATGAGAACCACGGAAAAAAGGCACGAGGTGGTGCTGCTCCCGCCAATAATATCGCACGCCATGCTCATTGGAAGTTCGTAGCTCGAAAACTTTCAGTGGCGCGCAGTGGCCGTGATTGACGTCGCTCAAGGGGGGCTGGCTGTACTTGTACTTATCGCACTCCAGGCAACTGCCTGGAGGCAATGGACACTCCAGCCAATTGCCCATTTTACTGCAATAAAATACAGAACATAAAACAAAACAGACAGAAGGTGGATGGAAGCCGGCAGCAATGTTTCTGGAACATGAAATTGGCTGCATATGCAACACTGCAGCAACACATTTCTGTTTTGGGTGCGGAGAACTTCAGAGTGAGTCCACCACCTCTTAGCCCTTCCTCAATTTAGGTAAATCAAATGTATCCTGGATAAATTTTCTTGCAGTCGTAGGCAAAAATTTGAAAAAACATGAACAGCCGCCCATTCGCGTAAAGGCATAATTTTCAGATGCAATGGGCCCAAATAGTAATGTGACCGTTTGGCTTCAGCCTTATGCATTGAACTTCGGCAGCTTCTAAAAATTCTGCTTCAAGGACAACGGTGGCTCCATTTCCAGAATCTCGACATTTTACGAAACCACGAAGTTTTAAAGTGAACAATTTGCTCACCGTCATCTCGCTTATTCCGTCAGCGTAGGCCGCCGGCATCTGCGTCCTCAAGAACTCCGTGTGGGCCATGCTGTGGATAGCGTACCCCAAGCAACTGTCACGACGCAACACTTTTTCCGCAAAATTTCATTCATACGCATGACCGCGGCCCCAAAACGCGCAATAAACAGCTTTTATCGAGGATAGTCGCAAACACGCCATTGATGCTGTACTATTTGAGAGAATTTCATGCATGCAAATTTCGACCGAAGCCTCTGGCGATAGAGATGGAGTGGCCGCATTGAACTGCGCGGCTCAAGCAATCTTGATCCATATTCATTTCGCGATACATTGTCAAACATTCGCCTTCAGAGTGCCTGAAAACAACGGTACGACATCTGCAGACACAGTGTGCAGAAACATTACATTTACCGTTACAATGTTTGAGGCCACGTTGTTCACTTTTCAATCACCCACGGGGCCGTTCCCTAATTATGTTTTTGCTCATCCTCTGTGTTGCGAAGCTGCTTCCTGGAGATGGCGCCAAGTGGAGCATCATATCTTCACGCAACACAACATGGACTGATGTGGTAATCTACACCTGCGTCTCCCGATCTGCAGATCCTTTGTTTCTGTCATGAGATGATGGGCGGGATAGCGTTCGGTTGCCACGCCGTCGTTGGATAATAAGCGGGGGAACGAAAAAGTGACGGCAGAACAGTGTTGTGGAATTGGAGATTGCCGGCATGGAATGACTTGCTCGGGAGCTCGCTTTGTTCGGCGTCAGGAGAATGCAGTGCAGGGAACTCAGCTGCCCCTTCTTCACATCGCGGTAAACAAACCGCGCAGGTATGCAGCTGCAATCCCCAGCACGTTCGACATTGCATGTGAAGGTTTGCGTTTCGGCCATCATTAGGGCGGCATCGCAGGATGTGTGCAGGAAGCATCGGTAAAAGCCAACGAAGCCACAGCGCGCAACCCCTGTTTGCATGCAAGTCCCGGGGAAGCGCCGATTGCGGGGCAGGCATTTGCGTTTCGGTGTGCGTGCACGAGGAAACGGCGTCGGGGCGGACCCGCCGCGAGTTTCTGAAGAGGGCGACCGCAACAGCGCAGCCGGGCCGCCCTTCAGATGGCGCAGCCGCGTTGCGCACGTCGCCCTCTGGTTGGACGCAGCGTCGCACACGAGCCTGGCGCTAGCGGCCGGTCCCTTCGATGCAGCTGCCGCCCGGCTGCGCCGTCAGCTTCTGCCATCGAGCGCGCTCGCCGCGGCGGTTGGCACCTTCCATCGCCTGAAGATTGGGACCCAAGCCTCACACCAAGCCCCTTTCCCCTCACCAGCACCCAGCCAACCATCGGGACTCCCGACGTTCGGGCGGCCAGTACATTGCTCCTCTGGCCGCGCCAAAGAAGCGTCGGGACGTCAGTTTACCGCCGCACTCACCCCCACTCGGGGTGCTGCACGTTGTTCCCCCACCCGTCGAACTGGTAGTGCGAGGGGAGGGCGGCGCGCACCGCCGCCACCAGGCACCCCAGCAGGAACGCCAACCTCCACACCGCGCCCATGGTCGTCGGCACTGCCGCACGGCCGCCGGCGAGTGTCGGAAGCTCTCGGAGTCCGAAACGCGGCTTTCGGAGTCCGAAACTCGGACGGCCCCTCTCAGACCGGGGGCATCGGCGTTTGCGCGTTAGGGGGTTCGGGAGAGGGCCAGGGGTGGGGGCGGGGCCGGTGGCGTTTGCGCGCGGCCGACTGGGTATCTGCGGGCGCCGGGCAGGTCAGAGGCAGGGCGTTGACTCAGTGGTGCGTCAGGACTGAGCGCGTGAGCGATGAACGCGGCCCGTGTTGCAGTTTTGCGCCTCGCTGTTCGGCGCACAACGGCGGAGAGAAGGTGCGTGTGGAAATCGGGGACGGGGGCGGGGGCGGGTCTCCGCGGCTGTCGGCTGGCAAGGTCAGCGGACGGATGGGGACCGGCGACGGTCGCGGAAGGGGAGCGGTGGGGGCGGGAGTGCCGTGGGCGATGGGTCGGGGTGTTGGGAGCTTTGGCGGGCGGGCGAAGGCGGCAGCGGCTGGGACTGGCGAAGCAGCGGAGCAGGAGGCCAGGTCGGCCAATTGCCCTGGAACCAGCTTGCGAGCTGGGTCCAGGAGACTCCAGCCTTTGTGCTCCCAGTGTGACAGAAACCCGTCCGAGTGCTGCTGCGGCAAAACGGGCCTGGCGTGTTGGCCTTCTGCCCCAGTTTGGTGCTGATAAGATATCTGGGCGGTTGGAATGGTTATTTGTTTTGAACTCAGTTCACAATTTGATCTTCGCAGATGGGTCACTCGGGGAGAAATGCGCCACCGCACGCTATCAAGATTGAGTTAGAATTCTACGCGTTTACCGATGCGTTTCTGTCTCACATCTTCACTATATTGTCTTCAAAAAAGATTAAGATTCGGACTGCGTGCCTTGAGTTTCCCTTTGATGAAGCTTCCACAAAGGAATCACAGTGTGCCAGGCAATTGGTCTCTGGACGCCAGGTTCTACACATCGAAGTATACCCTGACGATCATCGCATTCAGCCACTGTGGCTGCGGAAAGTTCCAGCAAGCATTAGCACACATATATGTGTGCCTATATAGGCACAACCCCCACTACGCACTCATATGAGTGCCTGGCCGTCTGGAATGAAGCGGTCCGAGGCCAGCAGTTCATGTGGGCCAAGGGGCATTGATGAAAATTGGAGCAACTTTTGCCTCTAAAACCTGAACGTTGCTACTCAACGAGTTGGCCCTGATATCGAAGCAGCATGATTGGTCACCTCCGCGTGCAGTGCAATTGGCGCGTGATTTGATCAACGGTAGGGATTCAATTCTATAAAGAATACGGAAAAGGATTCATTTCTTTCCAGTTCCAGGGTTCGCGACGGGGCGAAAGCACACCTCGCCAACGGTTTGGCTAGGCAAAGCACAAATGTCTGATACCCTTCATTTCCTGAAGCCATGAAGGTCGTGAAGTTCGTGAGGTCATGAAGCCATGAAGCCGCGAAGTTATGAAGGTCATCAAGGTCAATTCGTTCTTAGGCTGGCTTAGTTGTTTTAGTGTTTTATGTCCCTGGTACCCTTCATGATACGTTCATGATTTTCACATCCGGTAATGGTGTGGCACAATCCTCGGGGAATGTTGTGTGCACAGCCACCACGGATCCATCTGGGAACATTCTAAGGTCCAGTACTGGGGACGCCCCGCGCAGCACAATGCCGACGTGCGTTTATAACCACGGGCTCTGCATCGCACCGATGATCGCCGGTTCATGAACCGACGCCTGGAAATCTGGGGTGGCATCCTGGGTTGCCGCAAAAGCGTCTGATGTGGCCCTCCAGGCCGAGTACGTCAGCAATGATCAGTAGTGGGGTCTTGACAGGTGTTTTCATCATCATCATCATCATCATCATCATGATTTTTTACAGAACACGGCAATGAGGTAGCCGGCATACAGGTGTTTTCACAAAAATGCAGGCCAACATTCAAGGTGTTCAACAATTTAGCAAATTTGTTGAATGGTAATCATATGTGATTAATGTTGTAATCAACTTTGTTACAACTCACTGTTGGGCAAAAGTATGTCAACAATATGTGCACAAAACTGAAAACTGTGCCGCATGTTTCGTAAACAACACAACATTGTTTTTATTTCCTTTTATGCTTAAACATTGTTTCTCAAACTCTCGCAGGTAAAACGTCATGATTGTTGTGGTATCAACGGAAGTTTCGTCTACTTGCACTATGAAAAAACAGGCCAGATGACACAGCCCTGACGCGGTCTGCTCAAAATCCAACTGTGTACTTTCGGCAAATGTGGTCCCAAACTACGCAGTTAGTACACATAGTGACACAATTTCAAACATGTATCCTAGGAAACCGTGTAGTCTACACAGTTGTTTGAGGGTACACGGTTGAAATGAAGTTAACTATCCTGTTAATGGGTTTCTGCCAAGGGCGACGATGGGTGGGCTGCACCGGCAATTCAAACGGTGCAGTTTGAACCTGGGGTTTACTCAACCCCGTCCCTTGGGATTTCTGGCCACCCCCTAGTACCGTGGGTTAGTCAAAGTACGGTATTCCGAGGTGCCGCCCGCGAGGGCGCCCTCGAGTTTGGCGGGCTTTGGCGGGGCGGCGGAGGGCGGCTATTTAGGCAGCCCCTCGGTCCCCCTCCTTATCTTGTTTC